CTGTCATTGGCTTGTGTAACTAATATGCACTAATAAAAATGTGAGACAAAAATGATGACCAACTGACTAGCAAGCCTCTCATTGTGACAGTTGTTTCCTGGTGCCTACAGGATCCTGGACCTGGAAGGTAGAGAAGCAGCATTCTAGGGGATGGGATATAGCACATCAATCAGCAAAAAAAGAAACTAGGCATGCGGGAATGAGTGCCAGAGAACTGAGAATGGGATGCTTGAGAGAGGACCAGGGTGGCTCCTTTAGGCTAATTGACCACAGTTCCTCTAGGGTGAGTCATTGGAGTCAAAATCTAAAAAATAAAAAAGAGCAAACAAGGTACAGTGTAGGGGGAAGAATCTCTGTGCAAAAATGATAACCATTATAGAAATTATCATATCCAAATAAATTGTGACCTCTAAAGACAAATATAAACTTACATTAGCACCTAGAGAAGAACTGGGCATTTTTTATCAAGAGGGCAAGAAAGAAGGGAAAGAGCATTATTAGTCACCTGTGTCTATACCGGGATCTGTGCTAGAGCCTACACACAAGGACACGAGTAGTGAGTTTTTAAAAGAAGTCATTGGGAGTTGGAAAGGGAATAGAAGTAATGGCTTTGCAATGGCTACATCAAAGTACTATTCAGTTCTCTACACATGTGCATGAGAGAGAGTAGAGAGAGAAACATTTCCCTTGGTAAGACAGAGCTAAACGTGTTAACCAAGGCAAATTAGTGGCATCCTTTGAAGCTTGGATTTCACTGGGAGCAAGCAATAGCAGGAAGCTGTTTTATTCCTACTTTAGAGATGAGGGAATGAGGCTCAGAAATGAATACTCCATCCCAAAACACATCACTGCAGCCATGAGCAAACTGAAACTCTCTGGAAATTTCCTGGATACTTCATGACCAAAGTTCAGCCGGGAGTAGGCTGGAGATGATAGTCACAGCAGCTACCATCAGGTGACAGCTTACTGCTCCCAATATAGCTCCCTTAGAGCTAAAAGCATCCCATTGAGGTAGGCACCATTATTATCACTCCATTTCCATACTGCAAAAAGGGGGAAGGCAATTCAGCAATTACAAGTTTGCCCTCTTCTGGAAATGGAGAGTGCCACAACTTGAGTCACCTTCCTCTTGTGAGCCGCTTTCCCTGAAGGTGCTATGCAAGTACAGTTAGTGACACACATACAAATGACTTCTATTTTAATAATAAATGAGATTTTTTATTGTGGTAAGATACGCATTACACAAAATTTGACTTTTTGTGAATGGCCAGTTTCACTTAGTATAAATGTCTTCAAGGTTCACTCACCTTGTAGCTTGTCAGCATTTCCTTCCTTTTGAAGGCAGAATAATATTCCAACTCAGTGACTCAAGCACATTTTGTAAATTCATATATCCATTAATGGATGCTTGGCTTACTTCTACTGTTTCAGATATTGTGAAAAATGCTGCTATAAACATAGGTTTTAATTATTTTGTGTATATACTCAGAAAGACAATGAGTGGCTCTTCTAGTAATTTTAATTTTTCGAGGAAAAACATACTGTTTTTAAGCTGGGCATGGTGGTGCATTCCTGAAGTCCCAGAACTCGGGAGGTTGAGGTAGGAGGATTGTTGCAAGTTTGAGACCAGCCTGGGCTACAAAGTGAGCCCAAGGCCAGCCTGAGCATAGCAAGGCCCTGTCTCAAAAAGACAAAAAAAAAAAAAAAAAAAAAAAAAAAAAAAGAAAGAAAAAAAAAAGAAAGAAAAGAAAAACATACTGTTTTTAATAGTGACCATAACAGTTTAAATTCCTGCCAATGATACATAAAGGAGGTTCCAACTACTTTATATCCTATATATTTGTTAATTGTATTTTCTCTTTTTGATAGCCATCTTGGATATGAAGTGGTATGTCAAAATGGTCTTGATCTACATTTTCTTAATAACCTAATAAAGTCAATCACCTTTTCATCTGCTTGTTTGCTACTTGTGTATCTTTAGAGAAATGTTTACTGTAGTTTATTTTGTATATTTTTAAATCTTTTTGTTAATTTGTAGGCATTATTTATAAATTTATCCTCATCAGATACATATTTGTTCCATTTCATGGTTAGCCTTTTTCCTGTACCAACGGTATCACTCAATGCACAAACATTTTAAATTTTAATGTACCCAATTAATGTAGCTCGTTGACCTTTATAGTGTCCTGTATAAGAATCCGATGTCATGAAGCCATTCCTGTGTTTTCTTCTGATACTTAATGTATTCATTTTAACATGTTTAATGAGTATTTTAAGCCATTACTTTATAAATATTACTTTAAACCTCTTAAAATTTGAGGATTTTGAGAATTCAAATAAACATTCTAGGTAAGTTAATAGAAGCGATTTATCTTTTTTAATAGGAGAGATTTAATATATGCATCTTGCAGTTAGATCTCCAAAGACTGATGTTTGGTAAATACTGTACTAAACTGAACTGTATTATGCACACACATGAGCATGTATGTGTGTGTGTGTGTGTGTGTGTGTGTGTGTGTGTTGCTAAGGCTCATCCTGGGGCCATGCACATGCCAAGCAGATGCTTTACTACTGAGCTGTGTCCCTGGCCTAAATTGCATCTTTTTAAATACACTTACTGCTATATCAAATTTATGGGCTGAGTTTCTTCCTTCATTACTTGGAGAAATGGCCCTGGGTTTGTGTTAAGCACCTGGTAAGGCAAACACAGAAGCTCAATATGGAGTCACTCATGCCAAGGTTCTACATCACCCACAAGAACTTCAACAAGGGGCTGGAGATTTAGCTCAGCGGCATAAGTGCCTGCCTTGCAAGCAGGCAGTCATGAGTTCGATCCCTGGTACCGATAAAAATGAAAAAGACAAAAAACTTCAACACTTGTAAGATCTGACTTTGAGAGATCAAATCCCATCAAGCTGTCAAGATTTCACTTATGCCCTATAAGGAATGTAATTTTGAAAGAAATCAGTCTGCCATTTGCTCACCATTCCTGATGTCCTCTACCATATGTCTGCCTAGAAGATCTACTCTATTTCACTGGTACATCTATTTTGTAGATGGGTGCGGCCTCATTCATGACTTGGCAATAAAAGCCACTTAGATCTCTGAAACTAAGTTTGTTGAAATCTTGTTCTATGACACATCTGAAAAGTAGCCATAACTATAAAGCCTTGTGGCAGTGAAACTGGATGACAAAGTAAGTCATCTAGGCTAAATAACAAAACAAATGCTTTGAAAGGAAAGGAAGTAGTACAAGTCCACAATTACCTTAGTTTCACCTATGAAATTTAAATTATTCTGAAAATTGTTAGGCCCTCCCTCTCCACGTTTGAAACTACTCATTTGAACCAGGTATACGTGAAAATTTACATATTCATGCTGAAGATGCTGTATATTGATTATAAGACATTGCACCAGATTCCTCTGGGGAGCTTCATAATATACTATACACTGCTTTTCAAAGATTCTGCATTCCAAAACCACATCTGGCCCCAAAGGTTTTTGGTGGGAGATTTTTTTTTACCTTGGGTGATAGAACTGTGAAATTCTCAGATTCTGGTGAACCAGTGGTGGGAGTAATCTTAAAACAGTTACTACAAGCTTAAGATAGTTACAGAATAGTAACATACCATTCATTTATCCAGTAATTTGTGTCAGGCATTGTATGGAAATGTTTCATTTAGTAAACACAGTTCCCTACTGAGGTGTATTTACTTCGAGTATCAATGTGAGAGCCAACTTTGAAGACACCAGGTAGCTCCTGTAGGCTGTATCGCCAGTCAGGGGTGGGGAGGGTTTTGCTGGGCAGGCCAGGTGGTTGAGAGGGTGCAGGCTGGGCAAGAGTGTGTGCCTCATCACAGTGGATTTCCACCTCCTGTTGCTAATTACTAAAGTGTAACAAAGGTCGAGTTAGGGCGTGCTGATAGTCTAAAGAAAAGTGGCTCCTCCTCAGGATTTATACCATTCTAGAGGCCTCTTCTTGAGTTTAGAATGCCAGGAAAAAGGAAGGGATTATTAAAGGATTAGGAAAAGAGGGTGAAAGCTGTTTTGCTAAGGACAAATTCGAGAAACAGAATGGGGCTGTCCTGTAATACTGTCCCCTAGGTTCCCACCAGAAAGCTTCATGGTGACCACAAGCTGCAGTTGCAGCAGCTCAGAGGAAAGCAACACCAGGAACAGCAGCAAAGGCGGCAGCCCCACCCATTCAATCCCGCTCCAAGTCTCAGCACTGTGCTACCTTGGCAGCTCTTGTGAAAATTTACTGAGACAGAGTCTCGCTAAAAAGTTAAACTGTCCAGGCTGGGCTCGACTTTGCTAGTCTGCTTCAGCCTCCCAGAGTGATGACTACAGGCATGAGCCAACCTATTTTAATAAAATAAAAAAGAGTTCAGGTTCTGGGAGAACCTTGGGAGAATCACCCGCAGCTCTGAGGAGGCACGGGTGTGGGAGGCAGGAGTTTGGTAAAGCAGTTAAGAGATTTCGGCATTGATCCCAGTCTTCCGCGCTGCCAAGGGCCTCCCCTCGAGGGAACACCGAGGAGTACCCCACGGCGGCTAGGGACACCAGGACCCTTGCGCCGACATTGGCCCCATTTTTCTGGGCTTGCCCGAGAACCTAGGCAGACCAGAGCCTGCAGCACTACGCTTTGCAGAGGAGAAGGAAGCTCCTGGAGCTCATCTTTAGGAGACAGCAACGCATTAAACTTAAGTGAAACTCTGCGGTGCGCCAATTTCTAGGCTTTTTGAGTGGCCCCGCTCTCCAAAAGGCGGGATCTGGGGACCTTGAGTCGCAAAGGCCACACCCCAATTTTGCTGCTGTTAATTGGCCCGCTGTACCACCAATCACCCTACCGGTCCAGCAAAGTGAGGGCGGCACTAAATGGCCAATTACAAGAAAGAAGAGGCGGGCTTTTTTCCAGAGAATTTAAATACTGCAATCAAGCGCGGCGGATCCTAAGAAAACGGCCCTTCCAGGGTTCAAATTGGTTCTGCAAATCGAGAAGTGAACAACTGACCACTCTGCCAAACAGCGAGGTGGGACAGTCAGATAAGCCCAAACGACCTTTCACCCAGAAGACGCTGCTCTCCGCTGGTCCCTGCCGCCTGGCTGTACCCGGCGCACGCCCTCCTCAGCGGACACGCCCCTTCCGCCACCTCATTGGCTTCCTCGAGACACGTGCGAAAGGGTAGTGGCGGGGCGAGGCTGGCCGGCGGTGGCCCGGCCTCCAGATAGACAAGAGAAGCCAAACGGTTTCAAACTTGTAGCCGCATGGACAGCCTGGCGCTGGGCCGGTGGCGACGGCGGAAGCCAGAGGAAGTGCTGGTTTCCAGCGATGCGGTGAGCCCGGGGGCCTAGCTTTAGGAACTGGACTGCAGATAGACCTGGGCGGATCCCCACCCAGCGTCTCCTGGCACAACTCCTGACCGAGGGGTGTCCTGACCCGGCGGCCTGAGCACACCTACTGGGGCGGGGCCTAAGCGGGGCCGTGGCAGAGTCCTGCCCCTCGGCGTGCGCTTGCGCAGAGCTGCTGACCCGCTAGCTACTGGGAACTCCACGCCCAGGAGTTCCTAAAATATGCCCTGAGACACCCTCCCCCAACACCTCGGGTGCTCCACGTCACCAATAAGTGAGCTCCTGCCGGGCGTAATCTGCGGTTCTTGAGTCACTGGGGGCAAATGAGTCACTTAGGTGGAGGGCGCTGGGGTAAGCGGAGTTGACAAGGGATGAAGCAGGTCTGTGAGAGGCTGCAGGATGGTTAAGGGAGGCAGGCAGGGAGCGAGGGGAAATACTCAGCAGTTGCAGGGCGACTCAAGGAATCTTGGATTCCTGGATCCGAAAGACAGAGCCTCTTAGAACACTCTTCTTCCGCCCCCTGCTATGGATTGGCCTGTTCGAAATCAGCTTTACTTATTTTGCTAAGAATAGTAGTGAGCAGCCAATGTACCCAACATTTGCTTACATTTGCTTTTTTTGTTGGTTTATCTAGCTTCTTGTAGAGCTCTAGGTTTCATAAATGCCGAAGTTACAACGGGCAACTTTGTCCGATGTTTTCAGATAGCAGAAATGCCTGGGGGGGGGGGAGAATGACTAGAGAGCCAGACATGTAGATCAGGAGTAAAACAGGTGTAGCATGTATTCAATCCTCAGCGTCATGAAATAATAAATTAAGAGTGCCAGGATTTATACATCACTAATTTTTTACCATAAAGCCACCTTACATTTCTATAATAGTACTCCACCTCCATCCAGGTACCTCAAAGTACTATGTTACTAGGGTACAGCTTCGCTTTGGTAAGAGAGAAGAGAGACTTTAAACCATATTGGCTCAGACAAGATGGGAGTTGGTCCTGCATGTAATAGTGTGACGGTGAGCAGCGCTGTGGAGCTGGAACTGACAGTCCCTAAACTGAAGTGTAGAGCAGCTGGCATCTAGGTCAAAGGTCACCCACAGACCTGCATTGTCAAAGCTGGCTCATCACAGTAGTGCTTACATAGTGAAGCAAAATAACCACAATTACATTTTAAGAGCTTGCTGTGGCTGCGGAGTGGGAAAAGGGTGGTGGTGATAGTGAAGGCAGAGAGGCAGGGCTGGTATGTCAATCAGCTTTGCACCAGCGAGAATAGTAGGCAGGCAGACTTGCTCTAGACTTCGGAGGGTAGTGAATAAAGCGAAGTGCAGGGTAATGTGAGGGGCTGAGTCCAGAATGGCTCCTCTCTTTCATCTCTCACTGGCTATGACATAAGCATCTGAGAGGACAGTGCTGCTGAGAGAAGGTTGTTGTGAAACTTGGGAGAAAATTGAGTTCTGTTAGGCTGTGTTAGGTTTCTTGTGTCTTTTCGGACATTTAGGAGAGATGTGAAAAATACTGCCAGTTATTGGGTAGTTAACCCCCTGGATAACGTGGGTAATCTTTTATTGTTCCCCATATTACATTTGAGGAAACTGAGGTATAAAAAGATTAATTCAGTGATTTACAGATTCACAGCCAGTAAAATCAGGATTTAAACCCCAGATGTCTGTAGAGGCTGCCCTCTTAACCACTGTGCGGCACAGCTTCCCATGTGGGGCTTGTGGAGTTAGAAAAGTGATGTCCTAAATTTGCCATCATAAAGTGTGATGTGGAGGGCTGTCAGGGACAGGAAGCTAGAGGTCACTGTTGGTTAGAGGCAACAGAGAAGGCTTAAGGGAAGAGTCCTTGAATAATGCATCAGGTTGGAACTGCTGAAATTCAGCAATAAGGTGAGGTTGCAATACATCCTGTTACCAAAGAATAATGAGTTGGGTATCTTATTGCCATGGTGTGTATTGCCTTTAATTTGATAAAGTTCTTCGTTATATTGTATTGTGTCCTAGTCTTTGATCTAGCAATCCAGACTGAGTTCAATAAAGTATCTGGATTCTTGTACCAAGTTGGCTGCCCTTCTCATACCCCACGTCTGTGTGTGTACACACAGGTCTCCAGAATTTGGTTACTTAGGACCTGTAAATAGTTTCCTAACTCTTTTGCAGCTTAGTGGCCCAGCGACCAGGGCCCATTTACCTGGGTCTGATTGCTTGTCAGCTTCCAGCAGGTACCTGCTGTGATGCTGAGTGCACTGATCCCAGTCACTAAGCTTCCTTGCAGTGCAGTTAGCTAGTGTGCTAACAGGTGTAGCAGTTACATATCTGTAGTTTCGATGATTTCCCTTGGGCAGACAACCTGGGTGAGCACCTTGTGTGTCCCAGGAATTTTGATAGGCACTGGACATGTGACGAATGGCAAGAAGAATGAAGTCCTTGGTTAGACTTACCCTCTGGCTCCTGATTAGACTTCCTCTAGCAGTGCTTGGAACTGAGAGAGAGACAGACAGACAGACAGAGAAACAGACAGACAGACATAAAGTAAGAAGAGTAGAAGATTGAAGTGAAAGTAATATAGATAGTAAGTAGAGATAAATCAATGGAACTTTGAAGGAAACTCCGTGCTCTTATTTCTTAAGGTGGAGGCTGAGGTTTTAGACTTTATCTTTTCTAATGTAAGATGTAGTGCTACAAATTTCCTCCTAAGTACTGATTTAACATAGATTTTGAGGTTTTTTTTTTCATTTTTTTCCAGCTCAAAATTATAATTTTCCATTTTTTTTCTTTGATGCATTGGTTATTTATGTTTCTTAGTTTAGTTAATGTGACTATTGCTATAGTTAGGTTATAATCCATCATCATGCTGTTTTCTATTCTTTATTTTTTTCTACTTTTCTCACTTCTTTGGGTTTAATGGGATTTTTAAATAATTGTATGCTATTTCCTTTGTTAGCTTTTTAACTATAGTCTTGTTATTTGCTTTAGATTTAGAATGTGCATTTTATGTAATCATCTTCAGATGATAGTATATAACTTATATAAAGAAACTTCCATTTCTTTTCTCTCAACTTTGTGCTATTGTAACTACATTTTACTTGTACATATAGTGGAAACCCTTTGTATACTATTTTTTAAAATAATCGTATTTTAAGGAGGGTTCAAGAAAAAACAATGTATATTATTCCTATGGTTTTCATTTGTAGTGCAGTTCTGTCTTTTGTGTAGGTCTATAATTCCTTTTAATATCAGGTTTTTTTTTTTTTTTTTTTTTTTTGTCTTTTTGAGATAGGATTTCGCTATGCAGTTCAGGCTGGCCTTGAACTCATTTTGTAGCCCAGACTGGCCTTGAAGCAATCGTCCTGCCTTGGTCTCCTGAGTGCTGGGATTATAGGCATGTACCACCATGCCTGGCATATTTTTATGCCTAAAGAAATTTAACTTTTTTTGTGTGTGTGCTGAAGATTAGATTTGCACCTTCTTTAAATTTCTTTCAGGTGAGATCTGCTAATAATGATTTTTTCAACTTCTATATGTCTGAGAAAGACTTTATTGCACCCTCATTTTTGAATGATAATTATACTTTTTAGAGTTCTAAATTAACAGTGCTTTTCCTTTATATAAAGATGTTTTCTGTTTTGCTAACATTGTTTACAATGTGAAGTCCGCAGTGCTCCAGCTTTCTCAGTACAGAAGATGTCTTTTGTCTCTGGCTATTTTTAAAATGTTCTCTCTCCCAATAGCTTTGAGTAATTTGCTTATATGTGCTTTGTCATAGTTTTCTTATGATTTTGTACTTGGAATTGTTGAGACCTTTAGACCTAGGATTTTATAGTTTTCATCAAATTTGAGACATTTTTAGATTTTTCTGGCTTCACTTACCTCCTTTCCTTCTGAAACTCTGGTAAGCTTCTTGAAATCATCATATGTATTTAAAAATATTTTTGTGTTTGATTTCTGATAGCTTCTGTTGCTGTTTTCCAGTTCACTAACCTTTTCTTCTATAGTGTTGAATCTACCATTAATTGTATCCTGTGCATTTTTCATCTCAGACATTATAGTATTTGATTTGGATCTAATAACATTTGTCTTATGTGTTCACAGACACATATAATGCTTCTGTTTAACATTTGAAATTATGCAGTCATAACATTTCTTTTAATGTCTTTCTCTGCAAATTCTAGTGCATAAATTCTGGGCCAGCTATCATGGATGGTTTCCTCGTTATGGATCATGTTTTTCTGTTCCTTTGCTAGCTCGGTAATTTTGATTGGATGTCAGATATTGTTTCTTTTATTTACTGGGTGCTCAACACTTTCCAGTTCCTGTAAATATTCTTGAACTTTGTTCTGGGACACAGGTAAGTTACTTGGAAACAGTTTAAGCTCTTTGGGGCTGTGTTTAAGATTTATTAGGTGGTACTGGAATAAGGCTCAGTCTAAGGCTTAATGGTTTCCCTACTCCTAAGGCAGACTCCTATATATACTTCCTTCTGCTCTGTGAATCATGAGGTCTTCCTGTAAGGTCAGGCAGTATTTCCAGCCATGAGTGAGCTATTCTGTTACTGTTAATCCAAGTAGTTCTTTCCCTGGCATTTATTGGATAATTTTGTTACACATGCTGATCAATATTTAGCTGAATAAACTGGACGTGGTAGCATATGCCTCTAATCCCAGCACTCAGGAGGCTGAGGCAGGAAGACAATTATGAGTTCAAGTCCAGCCTGGGCTACAAAGTGAGTTCAAGGCAAGCCCGAACTGCGTAGTGAGACCCTGTGTCAAAAAGACCAAAAAGAGAAAACAAATTCAGCTGAATACTTATTTTTCTCTCTGTGCTACTATCAATCATAGGGAATTTGTCCCTATAACCCACACACACACACACACACACACACACACACACACATTTGTTTCTTGTCGTTTTGAGAGAGCTTCACTATGCAGTTCAGGCTGACCTTGAACTCACTTTGTAAGCAAGGCTGGCGTCAAGCTTTCAGCAG